TAAATTGAATTAGAGGGCCTAATCATTAAATTGGGCATCATTATCTAGCTCATGTTTACATAAGCTTTAAGTTTTACAAAGCACTTAATACAGGGTGTCCTAATAAGTTAATAAAATCTATCAAGCCATTTTAAGGCTTAATAGTTTAAAACTGCCCTAAGACTTTCTGAGTACCCTATATACATTATCCCATTTAATCCTTTAAGTCCCACTGTGAGGTAGGTACTATTATTATTATCATCACTTTACAGATGAAGAAACCAAGGCTTAGAGAATTTAAGTGACTTGATGTAATCATAAACCTTGTGTATCACCCAAGTACTATAAATTATATCTCACTACCCAAAAATAACAGGTAACCTGCCAAATAATTGACTGAAAAAAAATCATGTCTGGAAGATGAGAGGAAAAGCTGGTAACAGAGGAGGAACAGAGAGAAGTATAGATGAACAGATGCAAAGTTCAGTAAGAACTACAGGAAAAATGTAAACAGTAAAAATATAATTTTTTTTAGGGAAACATAAGGCAAGATTTTCAGCAAAATAAGTGGGAAGGGAGCCATAAGAGGTTTGAGGAGGGATGAAAAGATCTGGAAAAGATGAATGGTAAGTCATGAGGGTGGACTGTGTTGTCCCAGGGAAGGCTGCTTGAGATTATGTAACATAAATTTGTAGTGGCCCGAATAATCAAGGTTTTATGATTTTCTACAGTTTCATATGATAGCATGTGAGTAGGAGTGAAGGCTGAGGATGATGGGAGTATTCCAAGGCAGAAGCTTTGCAGGGCAAGATCAATGATAAGATGACAGGATACCTACAATTTGCCAGGTACTATGACAGGTGTTAGGGTTCAAATACAATAAATGAAATATTCTTTCTTCACAAGATGCTTATATTTTAACTGGAGAAAACAAGAACATATATGTGTATATATGTTCTTGTTTGTTTATGTTTGTGTGTATATATACACACACAAACACACATATATGTGTATATATATATATATATATATACACAGACACAAACATAAAAGTATATAGATCATAAACATAAAAAAAATAAACACTTGTAAATACAAAGTGGCTACAGTTAAGCATTAACAGTTGAAGTGATTTGAAAATGCTTCACCTAGAAGGTGGTATTTGAACTGTATCTTGAAGAAAAAGAAGGGGCTGAGGTGAAGAGAAATTATGTTTCTGAAGGGGGAGAAGGTAGTTAGTGCAAAGGCATATAGACAAGTGATGGAGAGTCTTGCATGAGAAACAGAAAAGATTAATTAGATTTGTATCACAGAGTGCAGGAGGAAGAGTAACATACAATAAGGCTAGAAAGATAAATTGGAACAAGGTTGTAAAGCTTTAAAAGTTAAAGAGCACAGTTCATTTTTGATCACAGAGGCAAAAGGAGGCCTCTCTTTTGGAGTTCATTCAGTTGGGGAATGACATTGACACTTAAGGAAAATCACTCTGGAAGCAGTATTGTAGGGAGCTGTCCTTATGGAAAATCTCTAAGTCCTTATACACTTTAGGGATCAGTACATATAGAGGCTTGCCTCGGGATAAACGTTCCCATGACTCTTGCCCTAGCTCCGTTCCTTATGGTTTGTTGATTCTAAGTTTTCACTAATGCTTAGCCTTGAGGCCAGGTAGCTGACTCAGGCAGATAATACCAACAACTGGGCAGGGAAACAATAGATACGAAATTTGGCATTAAAACTACTTTCTCATGAGAAAGTGAGGATCTTTAGCTGCTTAAATTGTTTATGTTATTAATTAGCGCTTGTAGATCATTTCTCACAGTACAAAGCTGTTTTCTGTAGTATATAATCATGTAACACCTGAAATAAACTAGTCTTTGAGCATTAAACTCAGACTCGCCTGGCCTGACTTTTCTTTCTCCAGTTCCCCTTACCCTTTTTTCCTTCACCACTCTGTCTTGTACCACGTCGGCTGCTGGCACAGTATGGAGAATGGAATGAAAGAAATGGCAGAGCCTTGCGACAGGGAGACCAATTAGGAGACCATTAAAACAATGTAGGCAAGGGGTGATAAGTGCCTGAATTAAAGTCATGGCTATATTATTAGAGAGAAGGGGTTGAAATGTTTTAGAGATAGAAATGGCAAAAATTGGCAACTGACTGGACATGTAATGTTTGGAAATGTGAGGAGTCTAGGAAAATGCCAACATTCTGAACTTGGGAAATGAAAAATGGTGGTTCCTTCAACAGAAATAGGAAAACTTGAAAGAGGGCTGGCTTTTAAGGGACATACTGAGTTTGAGATGTCTCCAGGAAATGCAATTTGAAATATCGAATAGACAGCTGGTGATATAAGACTTAGGTATTAGCATAGTGATGATAATTGAACCCATGGTATTTGACTGGTCACCAAGCCAGAGAATTTAGAGTGCAAAGGGTAAGGGACCTAGGACAGAACCTTGGAGGAACCCATAGTTAGTGGACATGATCTAGATGATGAATTAGCAAAGGAAACAAGGAAGAGTGATTTGACATTTAGGAGGAAAATCAAGAGAGCATTTTAAAGTCCAGAAACATTCAATGATATGCCCCTGAAACACAAGGGTAGTACAAAGAAAGCTAAGATTCATCTCCTTTATCCACAGATATCCCATAGGGTTTTATCTTGGGCCCTCTTCTATTCTCCCTCTATACTACTTCCCTTGGTGATCTCATGAGCTCCTGTGGATTTAATCACCATCTCTATGCTGCCAATACTTAAATTATCTATCCTACCACAAACTCTCAGCAGAGTTCCAATCTTACATTTGCAATTGCCTTTTAGAAATCTTGAACTAAACATATCCAAGACAGACCTAATTATCTTTGTCCCTAGTCCTTCACCCCACTTCCCTATTACAATAAAGGGCAACAGCACCCTCATTATGTATTCTTCACTATCTCTCATCACCTCCCATATCCAATCTGTTGTCAAAGCTTACTAATTTCACTTTTGTAACATCTCTCATAAATAGCTCCTTCTCTCCTCTGACCCTGCCACCACTCTGGTGCAGGCTCTCATCACCTCAAGCCCTGTGTGCCCCAAGTCTCTCCCCACTCAAAACAGCATTCATTCAGCCACCAAAATGATTTTTCCAAAAAACATGTCCCCCTACTCAGTAAACTCTAGCAGCTCCCTTTGGCCTTCAGGATAAAATACAAAATCCTCTGTATAACTTCAAAACTTCAAAAAGGAAGGACCTTTATACTTCTTATACCTTAATTCTCTGACACAAGCTTCCTTGATGTTCCACAAACAAGCCACTTTACCTCTCAGCTCCAGGGATTTTGTCTGGCTATCTTCCATGCTTAGAATGATCTCCCTCCTCAACTTTGCCTACCTGCTTCCTTTATATCCCAACTAAAAGCCCATCTTTTATAAGAAGCCTTTCCCAATTCCTCTTAATAATAGTGCTTTTCCTCTGTTAATTATTTCCTTTTTATCTTATAAACAGCTTGTTTGTTTGCATGTAGTCTCCTCCATTGTATTGTGGACTTCTTGAGGGCAGGGACTGTTTTTGTGTTTATTTTGCCTCTTTTTGTATTTCTATTTTTGTATTAGCAAGGTGTCTGGCCCAAAGTAGACACTTAATGTTTATGGACTGATTGATTCAAACCCATTTTTTTAGACTTTAAATCTATTCTATCCTGCGCCATAGAATTTAATAAAATAAATATACCTAGTCTTTTGTACAAATCATCATTAATTCCACATATTTTGATCTGAAGAGACTGTTGCTTAAGTTTACTTTGAATGTCAAGTATGATTAAACAAGCTAATGAAATATGAGTCAAGTTTTTAGTTTAGTGTTCATCTGAAATCAAATGAGTCAAACTTCAAAGGCAGGATCCAAGAAAATTATGTAAATCCTATAGTGATAATTTATTTTAAAATTTATTTCCAAACTGTAAGCCTTAGAAGTCGAAGCTAAATTTCTCTGATCTTCAGATATAGTGAAATAAGACTGACACTTGTATTTAGGTTAAAGGTAATGCCTATGACTGTTCCCTGAGGGGCAGAGAGGTACTTATAATAAACAAGTATTTGAGTTTGCATGATTTTCCTTCACTGGGAGAAAGTGTTTTATATATACACTTAGCTACTCAGTTTGCTTTACTTATCCTAAAATATGTCTTCTAAACTGAATTCCTGCAAAGTAGGTGCTTAATTTACCTGCAGAGAGACCTAGATGAATCTGCAGTTCTGATTTATACAGTATACCATTTCAACAGTGATGCTGATAGACTCTCATTAGGACCCTGTCCAATCCTCAGCAACAAAAGATGGAAGAGTCAGAATGAGACTTGTTTTTGAAAATTTGAGAAGAAAGGAAATAAGGGAGGTGGGAACCTATTACTATAATTTCTTTAATTAATTTAAATTTTAAATTAATGAAATCTGAACTTTGGAAAGTAAATTTTTCTATAATAATATTTATATAATTTCTTCTTAGTTAAGATAAGTAATTAATCATGGGTTATTAAAGGTTTTATAGAAGCTTCTATTTCATAGAAGTGAATGGAATGGAAATGGAAAGTGAAGACATGGACAGTATGGAGTACTATCTAACATGCAAAACTCAGTGACTTGCTAATATGAATAACAATCATCATCACTGCTTACACAGAACATCAAGGTTTTCAAAGCATTTTTTAATACAATTATCATACTTCATTCCCTCAACACCAACATAAGCAACGTGCTATATTTTGCTACTGTTTTATAGATGAGGAAATTGGCAAAGTGAGGCTCAGAAAGGTTAAGGGACTTTCACAACAACATGCAGCTAGTTTCATAGATAATTTGTCTGACTCCAAGTATTGCATTCTACCATGTTGTCTACCAAGAAATAAAATAGTGAGATTAGAATTGCTGTCAAGTTCAAGCATAAATATTCATTATTTTATTTTTTCATCTATCACATTAAAATATGGCAATCAGTTGACTTTTTCTGTGTAAAAAAGAAATACTCAATAGTACTCACCCGTTTTCATTTCTATCAAGCATTTCTTTTTTTGTTGACGTTCTGCTTTTTCTCTTTCTGCTATTTCCTTGGCTATCCTGGCACGTTTCTCTTTTTCCTCAACTTCTCTTCGTTTGGTGTTCTCCTTCATTGCTTGCTATAAAGAAATGATTTAAAATATTGTCAAGGTTGAATATTGCCTGAAAAAGGCAAATATTAAAATTAATTCATTTATCTATTTAACTTGCATTTGTTAAGCACCTACTATGCAGTATCAGATGCTGTGCTAAGCATTGGGGATACAAAGACAAAAACAAAAATCCACAAAAAATTAGAAGGATAATAAATATTTTCAAGAATGTTTATTGTATTCTATTCTCAAAACAGTATCCATAGAAAATATGGTTTAATCTTAGGACTATTTTTTCCTATGTACATCTGAATAGCATTTAAAAGCACTTATTCTTTAATTGTATCCATTAAAAGGGGGAGAAAACAAAACTTTGTATATTTAAATGACAAGTGATTTAAAATCATGTATACACATGGCTAATATTTTCTTATGTACTTAGTCACTGTTTGGAATATCTATTACTTAGATCATTTTATTCCTACTACTGCCACCACCTTAGTCCAAGTAAGACAAAATTACTTTCATATGAATTGATTCAATAAGTCCCTAAAATGAATTTTTCATGTCCTGTGCTAGGTGCTAATAATACAGCTCTTGACTTCACAGAGTTCATATTTCTACTGGAGAAAAATATCATGTTGACAGATAATAAAAAGTGATTTGAGTAATGAGGTTGGCATTCATTAACACCAAGGAAAGTCAGGAAAGGTTTCATATAGAATGTGGCCCTTGAGCCAACTGTGAAGGGAGCTAGGGATTACAAAAGCTAAAGGTTAGGTGGGAGAGCATTCCAAATACCGGGACCATTCTGGGCAAAGGCACCCATACAAATGGTGGAAAGTCATGCATGGAAAACAGGTAGGAGGCCACTTGGCCTACAATGCAGAATATATGAAGGGTAGTAGTGTGAAACAAGACTGAGCAGTTAATCTGGACTCTGACTAAACAGTTTTAAAGGCAAAATAGTTATAAAGTATAACGAGTTTCTATTTTCTAATAGGGATAATAGGCTGCCATTTACCAGGTCTGTGTCTTACGAATTATAATTTAGCAACAGTATGGAGGACAGACTTTATGGACAGAAAATGTATGTAGGAAGACCAGCTAGAGAGGAATTGCAATAATCCAGAAAAAGTGTGATTAGGGCCTGAGCTCGGGTAAAAGCCTTGTAAGCGGAAAAAAGGGAATAGATGAAAGAGACGGTGTGGAGTTGGAAGCAACAAAACCTATAAATAGCCATAACATCTGTCAATTTAAGTACATGTAAGTAGAGCTGAAATTCTGTGGGGACCATCTTATTTAGAAGCATAATTTATTTATAGGAGTTAATATTTTATTATACTCAAATATATTTGCCATCTGAGATTATCTGCCATCTCTTTCCTTCCTACGTGGGAAGACAAGAGAAGGTGGAGAGAATATGTGTGTTCACCTGGAAAGACCAAATGATCCTTTAGCCAACTATTTGGCATGAAAACAGTAAATAATGTTTAGATTATCATTTGAGTAATCAGCATTTATTAAGCACCTACTATGTACCAATGACTGAGTTAGGTGCTAGATATATACAGACAAAAGTTCCTAAGGCACTTACATTCTACCACTGCATACAAAAATGTCTATTTATAAATTTATACAAAATAAATCCAAAGTAGTTAAAAAGGAAGGACATGGATGGTTGGGAAGATCCAGAAAGGCTTCATGAAGAAAGTAATACTCGCAGGAAGTAAGGGATTCTATAAAGTGGAGGCAAAAAGGGAATGTATTTAGTCAAAGAAGATGTCCGGTGCAAAGCCATGGAGATGAAATAACATCTGTGAGGAAAACCGAAGAATCTGGCTGGATTGTAAGGTATTCACTATGCAGTAAAGCTGGAAAGATAGGAAGGATAGAGGTTGTGTAGCTTTAAAAGTCAAACAAAAGAATTAGGGGGCTGCTTTGATTTATGGAGTAAAGAAGTTCACATGCTTACAACTTATGTAAAATCACTTTGCCAACTATGTGAAGTATGGATTAAAAAGTAGAAAGTCTTGAAGCAGGGAGACCAAATAAAAGGTGATTGCAACAGTCAAAGCAGAAGATAATGACAGCCTGATTAAGGAGGTGAGTGTATGAGTAGAGATAAAGAGCCTAATGTGAGAGTTGTTGTATAAGTAGAAACAGCAAGAACTGGCAAGTGATCAGATAGATGAACTGAGAGACAGAAAGAAATTGAGGATAACACGGAATTTACAAACCTGAGAGACTGGAAGAATGGGAGTGCCCTTGAGAGAAATAAGTTTGGCAGGGAGACAAGTTTGAGGGAAAAAAGATAATAAGTTCTATTTTAGACGTGTTGAATTGGAGATGTCTCCAGGACACCCAGTTTGTAATGTCCAATACGTAGCTGGTGTGATGTGGCATCATAGGTTCAGAGAGAGACTAAGATTGAATACAGATCTATAAGTCATGCGCATAGAGATGATAATTAAACCCATAGGAGCTGATGAGTTTGTTGAGAGTGTAAAATAAGATATTCAGTGCCATACCAGTCAAACTACCAAAAATTATTTTCTAGAGATAGAAAAAATAATAAAATTCATCTGGAAGAGCAAAAGGTCAAGAATATCAAGGGAATTAATGAAAAGAAATGCAAGGGTAGGTGGCCTAGCTTTACCAGATATAAAACTGTATTATAAAGCAGCAATCATCAAAACTACTTGGTACTGGCTAAGAAATAAGAGTGTAGAGCAGTGGAATACATTAGGTACACAAGACACAGTAGTCAAAGACTATAGTAATCTCTTGTGTGATAAACCCAAAGATTCAAGCTTCTGGGATAGGAACCCACTATTTTACAAAAACTGCTGGAAAAACTGGAAGACAGTATGGCAGAAACTATGTATACCATGATAAGGTCAAAATGAGTACATAATTGAGACATAAAGGTTGATACCATAAACAAATCAGGAGAGCAAGGAATAGTTTACCTGTCAGATCTATGGAGAAGTGAAGAATTTAGGACCAAACAAGAGATAGAGAACATTATGAAATGCAAAATGGATAATTTTGATTATATTAAATAAAAAAAAATTTGCACAAACAAAGCCAATGCAACCAAGATTATAAGGGAAGCAGAAAGCTAGGAAACAATTTTTATAGCCAATATATAGAGAACTGAGTTAAATTTATAAGAATACAAGTCATTCACCAATTAATAAATGGTCAAAAGATATGAACAGGCAGTTTTCAGATGAAGAAATTAAAGCTATCTATAGTCATATACAAAAATGCTCTAACTCTTTACTGATTAGAGTAATGCAAATTAAAACAACTCTGAGGTACTACATCACACCTATCAGACTGGCTAACATAACAAAACAGGAAAATGATAAATGTTGGAGAAGACGTGGGAAAACTGGAACACTAATGCATTATTAGTGGAGTCGTGAACTGAACAATTTGGAACTATGTCCAAAGGGCTATAAAACTGTGCATACCTTTTGATCCAGCAATATCACTTCTAGGTCTATATCCCAAAGAGATCATAAAAAAAGGGGAAAGGACCCACATGTACAAAAATATTTATAGCAGCTCTTTTTGTGGTGGCCAAGAACTGGAAACTGAGGGAATGCCCATCAATGGGAAACAGCTGCATAAATTGTGGTATGTGAATGTAATAGAATACTATTATTCTATAAGAAGTGATGAGCAGGAAGATTTCAGAAAAAGCTAGAAAGACTTGCATGAACTGCTGCTGATGGCATGGTAACAGCAACAATGTGCCATAACCAACTTTGATAGACTTAGCTCTTCTTAGAAATGCAATGATCTAAGGCAATTCCAAAACACCCATGGAAAATGCTATCCACATCCAGAGAAAGAACTATGGAGTCTGAATGCAGATCAAAGCATATTATTCTTCCCCCAACCCCAGTGCATTTTTCCTTTTGTTTATTTTGTTCTGTAGTCACAACATGACTAATGGGGAAATATGTGCAACACAACTGTACATGTATAGCCTATATCAGATTGAACGCTGTCTTGGGGACAGAAGAAGGGAGGGAGGGGGAAAATTCTAGAACTCAAAATCTTACAAAAGTGAATGTTAAAAACTAAAAATAAATGAATTAATTAAAAAAGCTATAATAAAAAAGAGTGTAAAATAAGAGAACAAAAGAAAGCTCAGTATGGAGTATCTTGGGGTACACACACACAGGGGAATGATATGATATCATTTCACTGATTCTATCCATTGGAACAAGTTATCAGGGTAGATGGTAAAGTGGAAATTTAACAGATTTGAGATCATTTAACACTGAGACTCATAGCAGTGGGATTTGACAAGAGGCTTAAAGGAAAACAGAATTTAGATAAGCAAAGAGTGCTGGGAATTTCAGGTAAATAAAACAAAATGAGTCAAAACGTAGAAACAGGTGTCTATGTGGCAAGTTCAAGGTCTACCGAAACAAGAAAAAGCTTATTATAATGGATCATAGTTTATTTGCATATTGTCAAGGATAAAACTCGAAATCTATTAGAAACGAGCATAAATTATCAAATAATCTCTCTAACAAATACAGTTTCATTGTAACATAAGCTTTTTATCTATATTTTCCAGATATCATTGGTACCTCTTTCATATTCTTTTGGACAATATTCAATGGACAATAAAAAGGAAAAATTATTTTCTATCAAAATAATATTTACATTTAGCAATATGGTCTAAAGTCGTTGAAGCAATTTTGCTTTACGAAAAATTAAGCATTGATTTTTAGCTTTTAAAAATCACACCTAGTTTAATAATCATTTTCTCTCGTGTTATAACCTCAGGAAGAATAACAATGAAAAGATACAGTGTGTAGCATAGCAAGAGATGTTAGGAATTAATTCAATAATTCAAGAACTAATTTGTATTTTATTTGATTCCACATAATTTTGTAATACATGGATTTCTAACTAATTGGATAGAAAACTACATTAAAAACTTCTACATTATGCTATATAGAATTAGTACTTAGCTAACCTTTCGCCTCTCTCCCCTT